TTTTTTTTTTTTTTTTGCTTTCTTTTCCCTCCCTGCGCGAGCTGAGCCATGCCTGTACCGGATAATTGTTTTTACTGCATTCAACAGTGTTTCTCAGAAGCAACGGGTCGAAAGTCCGGACTGTGACAGTGGAGGCTCTGCAGGGACAAACTAATGCCTCCTTCTTCTTTCTGAGAAAGAAGGCTGAGCTATCACGATCCTTACTGTGAAGATCTCACCCGTGTATTTTTTTGACGATGCCGGGTTGGACACTTTCACCGTGTAGCTGCGAGCTGTGAGAATTCTTGTGGAAGAAGCATCTTATTGTGCGTGTTTGATTTTTGTGCCGCTGGATGGAAAATTCGAAAACACCGAAAGCCCTAAAAGCAAAAGAAAGAAACGAAAGTGAGTTTTCTTCTTCTTCCAGGGGGGTTCGAAAAGCGACCCCCCTCCTTTCTCTCTCTCCTCAGCATTCCCTCAGTCAGTCGACGGATTTTTTTTTCCATTACAGCTCAGTAGAGGGTGTCAGATCTTTCTTAGAGCACCGCGCTAGGATGAACGCAGTCTCCGCGTTCCTCTTTTTGTGATTCCTGAATTTGCCACAAAAAAGAAGAAGAAGAAGAAGAAGAAGAAGAAGAAGAAGAGGGGGGAGAAAAGGAGAGGGAGTGAGAGAGAGAGAGGTTGTAGTTGGTGCTGGTGTTGAGGAGAAGAAGAAGAAGAAGGGAAAAAATCGGCGCAAACGAGCCAGGCGAGACGCCGAGGGATGTGAGGGGGGGATGCCGGTGTTTTGCAGTGGTGGGACCGCCTGTGAAGCCCCAGCGCTGGGAGTGAATTCAGCACCGGGGGGAGAGCGGACAGCTCCCGACGAAGCCGCCACCGCCGCCGCAGCGCTCAGTAACACAACCGGTGGGAGGAAAAAGCCACGGATTTGTTCGTTTTTACCCCCCCACCACCACCACCTTCCCCCCTCTCTCCATCACTGCCAAGGTCAGTGTTAAACGAACTGAAAAAGCAAAGAAAAAAACGAAAAGATGAGCCGGACTCCGCTGACGCTCTTTTCTTTCCGCTTTTCTTCCGATTATATCCCCGAACCTTGCGAGGCTGTGAGGACTCGGTCGACTTGAAAGAGACGTTTATGTTTGTGTTTTTGGATTCGTGGGGGGAACAGAGAGGAAACAAAACTGGAAGAGTGGACACGAGAGCAGGTTAGACGCAGCGTGGATGTGTGATAAAAAGACTGCCTTATCTCTCTCCCCCCTTCAGTAAATATCTGTATTTCTCTCTCTCCCTCTTTTCTCCCCCCCCCCCTTTTTTTTTGCTTCCCTCCTTCCCGCTGATGCAGACCAGACCCCCAGCTCGCGCCGCGTCTTGAATCCGGGAATGAGTCGTCCACGTTGAAAAAATGCTGCTTTGGATCGTCCTGCTGAAAGCCGCTCTTTGTCTCGCCAGTGGGAACGTTACAAGGGACGTTTGCAAGGAGCAGATATGCTCCTGCAACGAGGTGGAGGGAGACCTACACATAGACTGCGAAAAGAGGAGCTTCACCACTCTGCAGCAGCTCACCGGCCCCAGCTCGCAGTTTTATCACTTGCTGCTGCACGGGAATTCTCTCTCTAGGCTATTTCCCAACGAGTTCGCCAACTTTTACAACGCCGTGAGTCTGCATTTGGAAAACAACGGCTTGCACGACATCGTGCCCGGCGCCTTCCTGGGACTTCAGCTGGTCAAGCGGCTGCACATCAATAACAATAAGATCAGATCGTTCAGAAAGAGCACGTTTCTGGGCTTGGACGACTTGGAATATCTCCAAGCAGATTTTAATCTACTGAGGGATATTGACCCCGCCGTTTTCAGGGACCTAAATAAACTTGAAGTGTTGATACTTAACGACAACCTCATCAGCGCGTTGCCCGTGAACGTGTTTCAACATGTGCCCATTACGCATCTCGACCTGCGCGGAAACCGAATCAAAACGTTGCCTTATGAAGGGATCCTGGAGCAGATCCCGGGCATTGCGGAGGTTTTGTTGGAGGACAACCCGTGGGACTGTAACTGCGACCTGGTTTCGCTCAAGGAGTGGCTGGAGAACATACCGCGGAACGCGCTCATCGGGAGGGTGATATGCGAGGCTCCCACCAGGCTGCAGGGCAGCGACCTGAACGAGACGTCAGAGGCGGATCTGTGCCCCTCGCAGAGCGCCGGCGTGGACAGCAGCCTGGTGGCCCCTCCCACCCAAGAGGAGACCTCCATGGCCCGCGACACGCACCCGACGCCTTACAAGCCCAGCGGAAATGCCAGCAGGCCCCCGACGCCAGGAGGCCACGGGTCCAACAAGAACCACTCCAAATCTCGTGAGAACTGGCAGCTGAAAACGAAACCCACTCCAGTGGCGGCAGGTGTGGACAGGGAGCAACAGCAGCTGCGCAACGTGACGTGCCCCGAGCCGTGCAAGTGCAAGCTGGTGGGCTCCAGGCAGGGGCTGGGGGTCAACTGCGAGGGCAAGAAGATCGAGAGCCTGTCCAACCTCAAACCCAAACCCCTGGCCGCTCACGAGCTCAACATGAGAGAAAACAACATCCACGCGGTGAAGAAAAACCAGCTGCTCGGCTACGCGAGCCTCAACTTGCTCGACCTGGGCGCGAACAACATCAAGGTGATCGACAACGGCACGTTTCAAAACCAGAGCGAGCTCAGGTGGCTGTACTTGGATAAGAACTACCTGGACGCGCTGGTGACGGAGATGTTCGTGGGCCTCGTGAATTTGGAATATCTCAGTTTGGAATACAACGACATCCAGCTCGTAGTTGCGGGCGCGTTTAGCCCCATGCCGAACCTGAGGGTTCTCTTCCTCAACAACAACTTGCTCAAATCGTTACCCGCGGATGCTTTCCTTGGGATTTCTTTATCTAAGATCAGCCTGCACAACAACTACTTCCCCTATCTCCCCGTGGCAGGCGTGCTGGACCAGCTCAACTCGATCATCCAGATCGATTTGCACGGGAACCCGTGGGATTGCTCGTGCAAAATCGTGCCCTTCAAGCAGTGGACGGAGAAGCTGGGGGCCGACGTGATCGTGAGCGACCTCAAGTGCGAGTCGCCGGAGGAGTTCTGGAAGCGAGACTTCCGCTACGTGCGGAACGACCTGCTGTGCCCCAAGCTCTACGTCTCCCCGACGTCGCTGTCCAAAAACAGCACTTTCGCGCAGGACTCGGGGACGCGCTCGAACTCCTACCTGGAGCCCAACAGGGTCTCCATCTCGGTGCTCGTGCCCGGTCTGCTGCTGGTGTTCGTCACGTCCGCGTTCACCGTGGTGGGGATGCTCGTGTTTATTTTGCGGAACCGAAAGAGGTCGAAGCGGAGGGACGGAAACTCCTCCGCGTCCGAGATCAATTCCCTGCAGACTGTGTGCGACTCTTCGTACTGGCACAGCGGGTCTTATCACGCGGACGGGGGCGCGCACCGGGGCTTCGACTGCAGCACGCATCTCTCCACGACAAACGATGCGTAAAAAGGAAAGATGCCCCCCTCCCTTCCCTGGATTACAAACACACACACAAAGAGACAGATACACATACGAACTTTATATTTTATCCATTTGAACCAAGTCTGCTGCTGCTGTTGCACAGCCCCCCTGCCCCTCCTCACCCCACTCTGTAATATATGTATATGCCAAGCCCCCCCAAAGAAAAGGCTACAACCCACCCCTCCCCTTTTCTCTCTCCCTCCCAGTAGTCGGATTTTTCTATTTTGTTTTTGCCGCAATCGGACCACATATCTCTGCAAGACAGAAAAGAGGGGAGAGAGGGAGAATAACAACAGTAATATTATTATTATTAATAATAATAATATTAATAATAATAATAATTCAAAGAGCGAGCGCGTGTGTGTGGATTCAAGGACCGAGGACCCGTCCCCGAGGGAATGGTGCACGAGCGCATGAATGTAAATGTAAATACTCGGACCCGATGTATCATAATCTGCATGAAGATATTTCGCATGGTTTCAACACACACACACACACACACACACACACACACACACACACACACACACACACACACACACACACACACACACACACACACCAGAGAGACGGGCGCGCGACGGAGAGGGGAAACCATAACCACCACAAACAAGCGTAAAAAGGAGCCAACTCGACCCCTTCTCATGTTATATCAATATGACGACTATATATAGATATTAAGAGTTATATATGACTATTACAAAGTGCCATTTCTCTATTTTTTTGTGAACCTGCAGTTAGGATTTGTATTTGTTGTTTTGAACTTGTTTGGAGAAACAAAAACATAAAAGGAGGGATGAAGAGGAGGAAGAGGAGTGTGATGGAAGTGAAGCTGTCAGTGCATGTTCTTTTTTTCTGTTTGTTATCATTTTTTTTTTGATTGTCGATGAATATTTGGGGTTATTTATACTTAAGTGGCGCAGATTTTGAACAAAAAGAGAGAAAAAAAAGAAAAAGAAACCCACGTCTGCGCACTCATCATCTCCTTTATGAATGTAAAACTGTGTTATTTTATGGTGTGCCAATTGTTCAGATATTCCGACATGCAGATGAGCATGACCAATTAACGTCACTCAGATGCTTATGCTGCAAAGTTAATGTAGCTAAAAATAACAGTGTGTTTTTTTAACCTTATTTTTTTCTTCTTCTTCTTCTTTTTATTTATGTGTCAATGAATATAGCCTGCTTTGGGTGAGAGGAAGAAAACAAAACAAATAAATAAACAAAAAAACATTGCAACAAGTTAAAAAGTTGGGGGTATGGGGGGTGGGGGGTTTATACTGTCATATTTTTTCAAAAGCAAAGAAGTGTTTTCAATTGAGCTAATGCAATTCGATGTAAACAGCGAAGGTAGACTGACATAGATAGAACGCTGTTTTTTAATGTCAGGAAAAAAAATGTATTCCTCCACATAAAAGCTTATGGCTATGATTCACTTTCATTATATTGTGAGCTTTTGTAAAGCCATCTAATCTTGTCCAAATAGGAGAAGTCACTGTATTTAGGACAAAACGTGCTTGAAAGAGGCGGGTTTTTTTGTTTTTGTTTTTTTGTGGCTGGGAGAGAAGTGAGGCAAGCTGGAGCATTTTACAGCAAGAAAGAAATCAAAGGTACCTACATACAAACATAACGCAGAGGTAACTACATAAAGCAAGATGTCTTTTTTTTGCTTTCAAATTATTCACTTTTGAACTTGAGCTACTCTTCTTGAAGGGGCCGCATGGTTTTTGTGAGCTCATAACAACAATGCCATGACTGAATACCTGTTTTATTGCTATTTTCTCTTCCCGGAGCTCAGCTATTGTCATGGGATATGCTGCTTATAGCCTATATTGCTTTACCTGAATTTAAAACAAAGAAGAAGGATGACCCCCCCCCCAAAAAAAAACCAAACAAACAAACAAACAAACAAAAAAACAAAAACGAACCAAAACCCAATGACAACAACAACAACACAAAAACAACAACAAACAAGCATTAAAATAGCTGGGGCTTGTTTGAAAAAAAGAAAGTCAATTCTTTAACTCTGCAGTAGTTCAAACAGAAGCGAGGAATGTGCAATTAGCATTTTTGTCTTTTGACTTAATGTTTGTTATGTAAAACCCTAGCACTGGTTTTCACTTTGCCAACTGATTTTCTTTTACAAAACCCACTCCAATATGCTTAATTTCGACACGAGTTCAGGCTAATTCGGTCAAAACTTACCATGGCCACGATGAGAGTGTACAGAGACGATGTTTAGACGGGCTTACATCCCCCATACTGCCCCTCACCTTGCCTCTTCTTCCCCCCACAAGTAGGCCTACAATTCAAGCTAGCGCTGTTCATGGTGCTGAATCATTTTTCCTGCTTTTTTTTCTTTTGTCTGTCGGCCCCCTTTGTGCGTGCGTGCAGGACCGCGCGTGCACGGTCATGCAGCCCGCATGTGTGAAGACAAATCAGAGAGAGCGCGCGCGAGAGAGCAGCTGCGTGACCATTTGCATGTACGTGTAGCCGCCCTTACTTTCCCTCCCCTCTTTACCCCAAACCACATAATTATACGCAGCTTGACCTTGGAGACTAACATCTCAGCAGATCTGTGACAAACCAGTCACCACCCTCATCACCATTTTCGTCCTTGCCCCCCCTCCGAAACACGCCACCACCTCCACCAGCTTCCCTTTCCTCGGTTTTCCTGTCCAATCACAGGGAGGGGATATATTGGGGGTAACTATGTGTCTATTCTGTGGAGTATTTACTGTGCCACAGTCCACTGATGATTTGTCATAACTTTCAAACGCTGTGTTTCAAAGTTACATTTATATGCTTTGCGATATTTGACCTGCTTCTATTTTGTTAAATAAAGTGTGGTTGAGGTTGAGTAAAAAAAACAAAGTATTTGGTTTTAGGTTTTTATTTATTGGAGCTGGTTTATTGACAAGGTTGATTTATCATCTGTTGTAGTTTTGCATAATTTACATGCTGCAGGATTTCCACATACTTAGCATGTTGAGGCGCACCAGCTTCTGGGTTTCTTCTTAATTACTGTAAACATTGTTATAATAATCATTGTTCTTATCATGGTGAGTTAAGGGTTCTTCCACTCATGAGTAAGAATGAAAGCTACTTTTTTTTCTTTGCTAAGCTCTACCTTTCAACCCACATAATTAAAACAGTGTGTCTGCATCAGTGTCATTGTATAGGCCAGTTATGCAGTCAAGCACTGTACAGGAAGTTAACACTAAATGTCATACACCACACAAGTTTAAGTAACAGACACCGTTGATGGGAACATCGATATGACGGGGGAAAAAAACACGACACACAAAAAACAAACAAAAAAATCAATTTTATATTTTGTTTTTTGGAATTAGGCTTTTAATGTGCTAAACAGTGGGGCAGTGCTCAAATGTTTGATACAAAATAATCACTTGAATGTTACAAAAATGGTTTGGGGATTATTTTAGATGAAATGGTGTACTTCTCCTTGAAAAACGACATAACAGCCATTCCAACTCAAATTCATCATCAGTGTTATGTAAAAATTAATTATTTTAAAGCCATAAATTCAAATATTTTCCAAAACTGCCCTTAATTCACCCTATATTTTTTACATTTTAGAATCCCTAGAGAGACAATTACACATTTTCATGTGCTTTTGAACTTACAGCTCTAATATCACACAATATCAAACAAAGCAACAATTTAGGTTCATGATTTATTTGGGTAGTAAAAGGAAAATTTGAAGATGACTGATACCCGAATAAGGTAGACCAGAGCAGTTGTAGTTGCAAGGTTGAGATTTTGATTATATGTTTTTTTTTTTCCTTTTTCAAATGTTTTTTTTGTTTTGGTGAGAAAACATGCTCTATGGGGAAACTTATGATACTTCTATTTGTAAGTAACACATTTCTTTCTAAGCCTTATGATTTTGGAAGAGTAAATCTAATAGCAAGAAGTAGCTAAAGCTGACCTATAAAGAAATGACGTCACAGTTGCATGACTTTAACCACTATGCTCCTGTGTTTGGTGTGCTGACAATGAATGTCCTCAACAACGTCTGTAGTCCCATTTAACAACGTGTTAGCAAACACCTTCTCTGGAAAATGTACTAGCTTCAAAATCTATGAGTGGGGTATTATTTATGTGCTTTATGTTGTAGCAAACGAAAAAAAATCTCCATAAAAACACTTAAAGCTTGTGTTGACCTTATTTCAAGCTTTCAAAAACAAACAATCTTGGACTTCCAGAGAAGTAACCAGAAGTACAAAGGGCCAACTAATCTCCTGATTTTAGGACTCATTCCTACTGTACAAACTACTACTATAAACATGGTATGCACATGCGCAGTATAGGCATCTCAGAGGAAAGCTTGGTAGAAGTACTGAACAAACAAACAAACAAAAAGGAAAACGTTTTGTGGAAGTTATTTTTATGATGTATTATTTTGTCTTTTCTGCTGTGTAGATGTTTTAACCTTTGGTAAAACACACACTCACACACTGGTGATGGCAAGCTACATTGTAGCCATAGCCACCGGGCCCTCTGACCACCACCAGTAGGCAACGGGTGAAGTGTCTTGCCCAAAGACACAACAACCGAGACTGTCGGAGCCAGGGCTCGAACCGGCAACCTTCCAATTACAAGGCAAACTCATAACTCTTGAGCCACGATCGGCCCTATCACCTTTAACCTTACATCAATTTTATCATTAGCATACTTGTTAATTTGGCAATTGCTGATATAAAAAAATCACCATGGAATCTGACATCTTGCACTAAATTGGAAATTTTGAAAATTTTAGTTTTTGTACTGAAAAATATAAAGTGGACATTTACAGCAATTGTTTTAAATTGCATAATTATGATGCAATTTATATGAAAAAAATGTATAATAACATATAGATAATGATACAGTTTATAAATATGAGTATTCTCAGTTACAATTGTCTTTTGACTCCCTTAAATTGATATCTCTCACCCACATGCTGTTGTTTAGCTTTTATGATTCAGAACACAAGGGGATTTGTTTCAGCTAATGTTATCTATGGTATAAATACAAATTTTACATTTAATGGATGGTGTGAATGCAGTACCTCATGCAGAGCGCTATACTGTGTGTAATCCTAGCTAACGTCTTCAAAACATTACACTCCATCTGTGTGAATACTTTAGAGACTGTTAGGTGATCCTGTGCCGCAGTCCCGTGTGACTCAGTGAACAACACTGGGACCCATTCATTAATGCAATGGATGATAGCTGTTGGAAACACAGCGGAGTGTTGTAGCCTCTTTTACACGCTGGGCACACAGCACTCCAACACTGTTGTGGCCCAGCAGGCCTGCCGTAGTTCGTGTGATATTCCCCCTGAGGAGCTGGCAGTTGATGCAACACTTTCAGCAGGGATAACATCATCTGTGCACCTCATAACACTCAGCCTTTGGTGGAAGTCTCAATGGTCTCGCTTTGGTTTAAGTTGGGGCTATTTAATCCTCTCGGTATTGAAAACATACTGCATGTGGTTGGTATTTGGAAGATGTGCTGTTTTAAATTTACTGTTACATTTCCTAGGTAACTAAAATGTGGCTGGTTTGGCTGGTTACTCATCAGCTGAAAATCCCATTAAGGCTTCAACACCCACTTCTAACATTATCTGTTTTTGGTGCCAATTCAAGCACATCTGCTGGGGTTTTTTGTTCTGTTTTTGTATGGTGATTGTGTTACAAAATAAGTGATTACCTCATTGGTAGCAACTTTAATTTGTGACCACAAGATCCCAGCTGGAAACAAAACTGTCTGTCATTTGGCATATTTGTCACTTTGTTCGCCTCAGATTTAAGCAAAATCACAAATGACAGGTTGTGGATTTAAAAAAACAAAATTCCAATCAAAAAAACTAAGTGCCAGACTACCCTTTCAATATGAGTTATAGTGTTTGTCCCTTAGTTTTTATGTGACTCCCAATGGTCAAATCCAATGTGTCAGCACTCGCTTAGGTTTTTAGCCCCCCCCCCAAAAAAAAAAAAGATTTTAAGCTCGGGTATTAGCTTTTGAAGCTGGCTTTGATGGAACTCCCATGTGTTGCTCTGAAGAGGTGCCAGGAGCTTTGCACTTCCAAACTCTGCAGCCATTGCAACCCTTCCTGCTATCCCATAGGAGTGTGTAGCAGTGATTATCTGGCATTATCCGCAGGGATTTCTTGGTGTTACTCCCAGATATTATTATTAGCCCATCCGCTGCAGAGCACTTAGCTTATAAGTCTCAGTGGCTGGTTTTTATTAGCCGTTCTTTGTGAGCCACAGTAGTTATAGAATAACGGCCATTCTTTAATGTTGTGCTTGCACCAGTGATTGAGTTTAGTATTAGGTTGAATACACTAGAGTGCAAGTGTTTTACATGAATGGAAACACAGCTGTGGGACATGCAGGAATTAGCCCCTATAATCATTGAGCTTGTTAATATACTTTTCAGCATGCAAACACATCCTAAAAACACATCTCAAGTTTAATTACACTAGCAAAGCAAAATCTTTAGAGGGTAAAAATTTGTTTTGCCTGTTGCCTTGGTCAATGTACTTATTTTCAAAATGGCTAATCAGTCTTTTACCATCGTGTATTTGCTGTTGTGACACCTAAACTGGAGCTGAAGCAGTGTGGAGTGGTGCATCAAAGTTTGGCTATACCAAATAGCAGCAAAGCAAGTAATAACTCGGCATGCTTTTGAAGGAGCGATATGCGCTATACGTTCAAATGTGGGCAGATAAATCAATCAAACCATAAGCGGTTCAAATATTTCAAGCCTTACTCACATTCCCACATCTGACAGACAGATTATGGTGCAAACATCCTAAGTAATTAAAAGGATGTCTAC